GGATATATAATTAGGTATTATTGTCACGACAGGAGTCCAGAACGAAGGCTGCATATTGGAGTGGACTTTGGGGAAGGGACTGTATAACAATGAAAGAATTTTTCTTTTACTTTTCAAAGAGAAATGTGAACTGGAAGAGAGGTTGGGCAGGGAGAAAAGTGCAACAATGAGTGAACAGAAATCCAAAGTCTCCATAAACTTTCACTAAAATTAATGAAAAAAAAAAAAAGAAATGGATAAGGGTTCAAGAATGAAGTCAACAAACATAATTCAGATGATCTTAAAAAAATTTAAAATAAAAAAACATAACAAACAAAAAAAGCTTGCAGAAAGTCCTTTAAGATACAACAATTAGTCTTTATTCACCTGAAGCAAAACAGGAAAGAGTCAAGAGTAGGAGGAAATGAAAAGCATGGATAACTGCCTCCTTTACTGCGACATGAAATCTAGATGGTGCCCAGACAGCATTGTAAGGAAAAACTGTATTGAAAAATCCTGACCTAAAGGGGGAAAATGTAGACCAGAATTCCCCAAATTTCTATGGAATCTAAACATTCTGTGGCTAGGAAAACTGGTGTTACCTTCCCAAAACTATTGCTTAGCATAATCTTTAAATCCAAAGTATCTTCTGAATGTTTGCCATGAGCATTATATTCTTTTAAGATATATCTATATGGGATGAGATTGGTAATAGTAAGTTAAAAATTAGATAGGAACCTCAGAGGGCTATGACATTATGTCTATGAGGGGGTGATAGAAAAGCTCAGAAAATGAGAGAGAATGGATGACAACTTCAAGAATGCCCTCAAGTCAGGGAGATGCATCTTTAGAAACTTGAAGTGGTGTATGTTTTCACAGTGGAAATTAACAAAAAAAAATAATTTTTTAAAAAAAGTTTTCCTTTCATTTCTTTTAAAAAAAGTCTTCCTTTTAAAGTCAATAAAAATAGTTCAAAGGTGGAAGAGTAATATTGAGAATGTTCAAACTAGAAGAGCACTTTATAAATATTATAAGCAAAATTTTGCAGAAGTTCTCAAATGAGAGGGCGTGTTATCATGAAGAAAATGGGAGTCCTGTGTAACAGTCATGGTTTGATTAAAGACTAAAAGTGTTTCATCAAATGTACTGAATATTCTATAGATGGCCAAAGAATAAACAAGTCTGTCTTGGAGGAAATGCAACCAGGGTGCTCCTTAGAGGCAGAGCTATTGAAACTTCACCTCACATACTCTGGGCATATTTTCAGGAAGGGCCAGTCCTTGGAATAAGACACCATACTGGGAAAGGTGGACGAGATGAAGACCCTGAATAAGAGTGAATACAGTGGCTGTACTAATAGGGTTGAACATGTGGGAGGTCGTGAGGATGGTGCAAGATGGGCAAGGTTCCCATCTGTTGTTCACAGGATAGCTATGTGTAGTTGTCAACTTTATGGCACACAACAACAACAACATATTTAAAGAACCTCTATTGTTGTTGAGTACCATCGAGTTGAACTGGTACACAGCTGACTCTCCAGCAGATTTTCAGAGGCGGTAAACTGACTGGGAAGAGATGATTCATCTTTCTCCTGTGAAGAAGCCGGTGGATTCAAAGCACGTGTATTTGGATTGGCAGAGCAACTCCTTACTACTAATTCACCAAAGTTCCCTAAGGATCATTTAGTGTCAGGGAAATAAAGGAAAGGATTTCCAATTTGGGAAAAATAGTTAACAGGGCCAAATATTGAGTAGTTAAGTACAATCAGAACTAAGAAGAATAAAGCAGTTTGCTCTTAAGAAGGTAATCTATATACTGTATTGAAACATATGAGAGAAAGAACTGTTTAGGAGGAATACAGGATTAGGTATTATTGTTATGACAAGAGTCCAGAATGAAAGCTGCATAGTGGAGTGGACTGAGGGGTGGGGGTGAGAGGGTGGGTGGTGGTGATGGTGTTTGTGTAACAATGAAATAATTTTTTATTTATTATTTTATTTTTCAAAGAGAAAAGCAAATTGGGAGGGAGGGTGTGCAGGGAGAAAAGTGTGCAATGAATGAATGGAAATCTAAACTCTGTAAACTTTCGTTAAAATAAATTTTAAAAAAAGAAGGTATTTTCTTAATAAACAATCATTAGTTTTTTTAAGTGGGATTGGAGTGAGTGTATGGTCAATGAACAAATGTTGGTAAGAAAGTAAATGCGGTTTATTTATTTAGGAATTTTGATGGAGAAGAAAAGAGAAACACAGCAACAGTTTGAGTAATTAACCAGGGTCAAGGGAAAGAGAGTAACTGGAACATATTTGGTTACAGAGAAGCTCTCAGTTCTACGTTATCTGATTCTTATCTTTTATAAGATGTGGTATAATATTAATTCTCACTACACTGTTGTAGGGAGGAATTTTGGTTACACAGTTCATTGTAACCAATCTGATCTGGGGTTCAAATCTACCATCTGCACTATGGGAAAATGATGTGGTAGTATGCTTCTGCAAAGACTACAGTTTTGGGAACCCTACATGGAAGTTCTACTCTGTCTTATAAGGTCATTTATAAACTAGAATTGATTTGATGATATTGAATGGCTATGTTAAATTATAATCCTCAGAACAACTAGTAAAAAAATTATAATCCTTAGAACTAGTAAAAAAATGTAAAGAAATATAGCTGGAAAATAGAAATATGGTTATTATACTGCTTTTGAAGTCTTTGATTTTTTAACTTGAGATGAAATTTAGCTTTCTTAACAAAGATTTCCTGTAAATCTTGCATGATGGATTCCTGACTATCTATGCTGTAATCTGCTAAAGGCAAGCAGAAATGAATGAACAGCTTTAAGTTAATGATCCCCCAATGTTTTTAAAGCACAATGGCAACCATATTAACATGAAACTGGAGAGAAGTGTACACAAAGAAGAATCAACAAGACAGTTACTGTCAGTCTGTTAAAAAGTGTTGTTATGTGCCGTCGAGTTGCTAACAACTCGTGGCTACCCCATATACAACAGCCCTGAAATCTGTTCTATCCTGTGCCAACTGTCTTTGAAACACCTACCCTCATCAGCCCAGTCACTGAATCAATCCATCTCATCGATGGCCTTCCTCTCTTTCTCTAAACTTCCAAGCATGGTGTTCCCTCCAAGGACTGGTCCCGCCTTGCAATATGTCCAAAGTATGTCAGAAAAAGCCTCAAAATCCTTGCCTCCAAGAAGCATCCTGGGTTCAGTAATAAAATGGAGCAAATATGGCTACTACTGATAGGATAAAGATGAGGGAATTGAGATAAAGGAAATTTCTGAGTTAAAACTTAATATAATTTGGTTAACTACTTGGGTTTGTGTTAGGTTAGACAATGTTTTTGTGTTTGTGTTAGACAATGGAAAAAGAGAAGTCAAAGATGATTTCGATATTTCAACTGATTGGAAACAGAGATCAGAAGTCTCCTTCAGGAAAGAGATATCTCAGAAGTATCTATAGAGACAGCTATGGAGCTCAGGTGAAATGTCACATCTTCAGAAGTAGAATGAGAAACTACAGGTATATCATCTGGGGCTGGTTAACATAAGCAAAAAAAAAAGAATACCTAGACTTAAGGAATAGAAAAAAATATAACAACAGCAAGAAAAAAAACAATCGCCAAAAACAACTAACTAAATAACAGGAAAAGACTGATTGACCCTGTGGTCTGTACTACCAGGCATTATTTTAAGCATTCACTTTATATTAGCTCACTTAATTTCTCCTAAAGCATTTTCTGGAAAAACTAAACAGGTTCTCTAAGGTTATATAACAAGAAAATGTTGTAATCAGGATTAGAATTTAGGTCCACAGACTCTTGATCCTGACTCTATTAATGTAAACCTACCTGATTATGATGATGACATTCTTTTAACAGTACTAGTAGTATTACTAAAAAATGATGATCAGCATTCACAATGAGTTAATAAACACTGTTAAACACTTTACATATATCATCTCAGATAATTCTCAACAATTTTTCTTTTTTTTTAAACACTGAATGTTTTAATTTTTTCCCCCCATTGTTACACATTTTCTTGACCCCTCTCCTTCTCTGTCTCCCCAGGCCTCCCCATAATGCATGCACTCCTTGTTCCAGATTACTGTCATATTCATAATGCCTAATCATATATTCCTTTAAGACAGTTTTCCCCCTCATCTGATCTAACGTCGTGTTCATTATCTACTCATTCTTTTTTTATTCTCTCCCCAACCCCTTCATGTCTGTCCTATTTTATGACAGCGGTGTTACACAGTATTTGTCATTTTGTGACTGACATATTTCACTCAGCACAATGCCCTCTAGGCTTTCACATGTTGTGTCATGTTTTACAAGTTCATTGTTTTTCAATGTTGCATAATATTTCATTGTGTGAATGTACCATAGTTTTTCTACCCATTCATTTTTTGATGGGCACTTGGGTTGTTTCCATCTCTTTTTTTATTTTGTGAATAACACAGCAATAAATATGGGTATGCATACATTTGTTTGAGTCATGCCACTGGTTTCTTTAGAGTGTATTCCCAGGAGTGGAACTGCTGGGTTCAATGGTATTTCCATTTCTAACTTTTTGAAAAAGCATCTTCCATAGTGGCTGCACCATTTTACATTCCCACTAGTGAATGAGAGTTCAGATCTCTCCACCACCTTGCCAGCATTTGTTGTTTGCTGCCCTGCTGAACTTTTGCTATTATTGTTGCTGGAGTGAGATGATTATCTCATAGATGTTTTTCAACAACTAGATTATTATTAAAAGAAGTTTTGCTTGTCATTTGAAATGGAGAGAGGCTTTATAATTTCCCCAAGATCAGGTAGTTAATAGTGCTTAGATTGAAATTTAAAAGAGAAATGCATCATTTGGAAATAAGCTAAATTTTAAAGAATAACTCTTATGTAAATGAGGGCTTAGAAAACAGGTAAATAACTAAATTCAATCAAGGTACTATTAGATAAGCATAAATGGACAGAATCACAAAAATATATTCTTTTTATAAAATACCTGACGTTTTAGAGAAATCAGTTCCATGTCCAGTTGCCTCAGGATGGTGTTGGCTGCATTGGGACTACAGGAAACAGCTACCACATCTTCTTGGGTTAAGTACATGCCCTTAGGGGGGCGGCACTTGGAGCGCTGAGAGTGGTGGCGATGCTGTAGACTCTGATACTCTCTCCTTCCAAGGCCAATCTTGCTACTTTGTACAGGTTGTTCAGTGTTACCCTAAGAAAATAAAGACAGAATAACAGGTCATTCATTGGCTTTGTTTTTTAAAACACAAATGTGCAAACTGAACACTAGCGGGAGGATCTGTTGTACTAATCCGAATAATTTTAAGTAATTACATTACATATAAGTCCAAACATGTACCAAGACAGAGCACTCACCCGTGGGAGGGAGGGTGGGATGTGGAGAGCAAACAATATTAACTAGAAAGGATCTCTGACTAATCCACTCAATCAAATGATGAGTTTCTAGGCAGAGGGCTATGCATGAATAAAAAACAAATAAACTGAATCTAAACTATTCTGTTTATGTCAAGATACATTTTTCTCTCCACAATAAGGAGGGGAAAATAATACACCTTAATAATGCAAAGTTTTGAAAGAAAGTAAAAAGAAAAAAAGTACAAATGACAAATTATGGCACACAATTTTGTTGTTGGAAAAAAAGACATTAAAGTTTCGTTTTCACTTTAGAGTTGTTGAAAGGAACCATGCCTTTAAAGGTAAAAAGAGTGCAGAATTATCCTAACCCTGACAACATTTCTAAACATCAAGTCTCTTTACCTATGAATAAAGTGCTCTTTTTTTTTCTTTTTTCTTACAAATCTGAACCTTGTTCTATCCTGTGCTATCTTCATCATCTCTGACATGCTTAAGCCATTGCTCCAGTCATTGTGTCAGTCTATCTGATTCAGGGTCTTCCTTTCACCTTCATTACCGAAAGCTGACCCTCTCTAGCAACATGCTTCTCCTCCAAGAGGCACTTTACCTCCAAGGAGCACTGTGGTTTCACATCTCCAAGACATAGCTGTTTGTTCTCTTGGCAGTCAATGATGCAATATTCAGGCCTCTTTTCGAAAACAACAGCTCAGAGACATTGATTCTCCTCTTACTATTCTTGCTCATTGTCCAGCTTTCAGATGATTGGAAAGACAAGACTATGGCTTGAATCAGATGTACTTTCGTCTGTAGACTGACATCATTGCTCTTCAGCACTTTGGAAAGGTCCCTGATAGCAGAGTTTCTCAGTGCTATAGATCTTTAGATCTCCTGACTGCTTGTGCCAGGGGTATTAATTGTAGATCCAAGCAATATGAAATAATTGACAATTTCAGTCTTCATCTGTTTTCATGTTGCTGACTGGCCCTGTCAATTTTGATAGTTTCTTCCTTTATCATATTTTCAATTCTTTTTATTTCTTTATACACGCATAATACATTTCTTTTATTCTTTTTTATCTAATTGTTCTGTCTGTGAACTTTGTAGATTTAATTCTGCTGTCTTCTCACTCTTGGGACTTTCATTATATGCTTAGCAGTGTCTGATTGTAAGCTAATTTTCCTTGGAACACTATTTGTAGAAAATTTTTGAGACTGACCTGAAAGTACTCACCTAGAGAGTATCTGCAGACATTATTCACCTGAGTCACTTTCAGCTTGGGGTTTTTTTCAGGCCTTCAGATTGCAAATCTGAATGTAGCCTGATAGTTAGGTTGAGTTGTTAGGGATTCTCAGAGGAGACATTTTATTTTTCTTCTTTTCCTCCCAGCCATTGGTAAGATTGGCATGATCCTTTTAATCACCTTGTCCTCCTGTCTTCTCTGCTCTACATGTGTCATCCATTGAATCCATACCATTTCCTACATACTCCTTTATCCCTTAGGTTCCTGCTTTCTCATCATTTCTGACATCTAAAGAATTTCTTCATTCCAGGAATTTTTAATGATTTGTGTATGTTGGCTCCACAATCAACACTCTTGGCACCAGCAGCGAGGAAATTAAAAGACATATTGCGATGGGAAAGTCTGCTGTTAGGGACATCTCTGAAGTACTCAAGAGCAACGGTGTGTCTCTGGAGACTAAGATGCATCTGGTACAGGTCATGCATGGTCTTTGCAACCACTTATTATGCATCAGAGAGCTGGACAATGACCGAGGAGGATAGAAGGAGAATTGATGCTTTTGAGCTTTGGTGTTGGAGAAGAGTGCTGAGGGTGCCATGGACTGCTAAGAAAACAAATTCATCCTGGAGAGGGTTAAACCTGGCTGCTCCTTGGAGGCAAGGATTCTGAGGCTTTGTCTGACATACTTTGGACATGTTGTAAGGAGGGACCGGTCCTTGGAGAAGGACATCATGCTTGGGAGGGTGGAGGGCAGGAGCAGGAGGGGAAGGCCACCTTGGAGATGGACTGATTTGGTGACTGGGGCAATCGGGATGACTGTGTCGGAGACAATGAGATTGGCATAGGACAGAGCAGAGTTTAGAGCTGTTGTACATAGGGTTGCTATGAGTCGCAAGCAACTCGACAGCACATAATAACAACAACAACAACTGGCAAAGTTGCTGTATATACCATCTACCTGGAAAACTTTATGCTGAGTGAAATAAGTCAGGCATAAAGAAACAAATATATATTCTAATGTGAGATATCTATAATGGATAAAAGCATAGAAACCAGACTAGGAGCAGTTAGGAGTGAGACATGTTACTGCTGTTAGATGCCATATAGTTAGTTGACTCTGACTTTTAGTGACTCTTATGTATAACAGCATAAGACACTGCCTGATCTTGTAGGACTGCTAATTATTTTTTATGGTGGTTTTATTTTGGTCATGTTGCCATAGCTAGGAATTTTTTATTGAAAATTGGGGATTTTGCATTAAAGAATTCTAGAGGTTCTAGATGAATGTTCTCTCCCTTCCAAGATGATTTCAGCCTTTCTCCACTAGGCAAGTAAAATGGTGACTGATCACCTGAACCCAGTCAGGGACTGTGCAGATGAAGTTGCACAGCTGTTACTATTAGCTAGCATTGAGTAGTCTCCAACTCATAGCAGCACCATTATAAAAAGCAAAACACTGTCCAGGCCTGTGCCATACTTACAGTCTCTGCTGTGCTTCATTAAACCCATTGCAGCCACTGGGTCAGTCTGTTTAATTTGAGGGTCTTCCTCTTTTTATTTTTTTTTTTTCTCTGACCCTCTACTTTACCAAACATGATGTCTTTGCCAGTGGGTGACCAATCTTGATACCATGCCCAAAATATGAGTCAAGTCTTACCATCCTTGCTTCTGGCTATACTTCTTTGAAGACAAATTAGTTAATTTTCATAATCCATGGCATATATAGTATTCTTTGTCCTCTCTGTAATTCAGAAACATCAGTTCTTCGGCCTTCCTTACACATTGTCCAGCACATGCTTATGTTATTATTATGTGCCATTGAGTTGAGTAGAACTTACGGCAACCCTGTGAGTAATAGATCTGAGCCTTGTCCTATCCTGTGGCTTCCTCCTGGTCTCAGACATATATGAGCTCATTGCTACAGTCAATGTCAGTTCATCTCATTGAGGGATTTTCTCTCTTTCACGGACACGTTACTATTCCAAGCATGATGTTCCTTTTCAAGGAATGTTGTTGTCGTGTACCATTAATTCGGAACCGACCCATAGTTGACTCTCCAGCAGTTTTCAGGGACAGTAAATTGCACGGGAAGAGATTGCCCATCTTTGTTCCATAGAGCACCTGGTGGATCTGAACTGTGAGCCTTCACATTATCAGAGCTCCCTTTCCAAGGAATAGCCCCTACTAATAGCATACTTCACATATATGAGACAAAAGTTTTCCATTCTTGCCTCCAAGGAGCACTCTGGGTTCATTTTCTCCTAGACATATGTTTGTTCTTTTGATAGTCCTTGGGATATTCATTCAACAACACACAAAAGCATTGATTTCTTTTCTGGCATTTTTGTTCTGAAAATTTTGTCTGAAAAGCCATTTCTGCCTTTCACATACATAAGTGATTGAAAATACCGTGCTCTGCCTGAATCATACACACCGTAGTCTTTACACTGACATCATTGCTCCTCAGTACTTTGGAGAAATCCCTGACAGCAGGCTTTCTCAGTGCAGTATGTTTTTTGATTCTTTGACTGCTGGTGCCAAGGATGTTGATTGTGAATTTTCTCCATCTATAATGATGATGTCTGTCCACCCAGCGTGAGGACTTTTATCTTCTTATTGTTAAGATATAAACTGTATTAACACTATGGTCTTTGAGCTCCTACAGCAAGTGTTTCAGGTCCTCCACATTTTCAGCAAACAAGGTTGTGTCATGTGCATTACACAGATTGTGATGAGTCTTCTCCAATCCTGATGCCACATTTTTCTTTATGAAGTCCAGCTTCTCGAATTATTTATACAGTACACAGATTGAATAGATATGGAGAAAGGACACAGCCCTCACCCACACCTTTCTTGATTTTAAAGCATGTTTGGTCTCGGCATGTATGAGCATAATTAAATATTCTGGGATTCCTGTTCTTCTCGGTGTTAACCATACTTATGATCTGCACAGTCATAATGCCTTCACATAGTCAATAAAACAAGCAGACAGTCTTCTGGTATTTTCTGCTTTCTGGCCAAGCTACTTCTGACATCAGCAGTGATGTGAGGCAATAAAAAATAGCATGGTTGGGTCATAAACAAATTAGACATCCAAGTGACATTTAGCACTTTAGAGAGGAAGCTGGAATATTTCTTACAGTGAAGCCCAGAACTTTTGTTAAGGGTTACAAAATATTTGTAAATGGATAGTGGTAGCGATTTTTTAAAATAAGAATATTACAAATGAAATGCTGCTTAAGACAACATGTTTGTCAGTAGAACTTTCCTGATCTCTTTTGAAGTATAAACTCCGCTCTGTCCTGTGCCAATCGCACTGTCTCTGACACTCCCATCCCAATTATCCCAGTCACTGAATCAATCCACCTCATAGAGGGCCTTCCTCTCCTGCGCTGTCCCTCCACCCTCCTAAGCATGATGTCCTTCTCCAAGGACCGGTCCCTCCTTACAACATGTCCAAAGTATGTCAGACAAAGCCTCAGAATCCTTGCCTCCAAGGAGCAGCCAGGTTTAACCCTCTCCAGGATGAATTTGTTTTCTTAGCAGTCCATGGCACCCTCAGCACTCTTCTCCAACACCAAAGTTCAAAAGCATCA